CTCGCTCGGACCGCACGAGCCGCTGAGCGGCCGTTACATTCTCGTGACTAACCGGACTCAGACATGGATGGGACCAGCTCAGATGATCACTGATAAACTGAAACTCTTCCTTACATATCAGGTTTCGGCTTGGATTAAACTCGGTTCTGATTCAAGAACAAGCCCTCAAAACGTAAACGTAGCTTTCGGAATCGATGACCAGTGGATTAACGGAGGACAAGTCGAGATCAACGACGATAAATGGCATGAAATTGGAGGGTCTTTCAGAATCGAGAAGCAACCCTCTAAGGCTATGGTTTACGTTCAAGGTCCTTCCTCTGGCGTTGATCTAATGGTTGCAGGATTGCAGATCTTTCCGGTCGATCGTCGAGAAAGAATCAAGTTTCTGAGAAGAGAAGCTGACAAGGTACGTCTCGAGACAAGGTTGAACTCGAAAGCTCGTGTTCTGTCTCGGTTAACCCGAAAAACTCGGTACTCAGACCAATGTCCACTACTAATGATGTGTCTGTCTTGAAACGCAGATCCGAAAACGCGACGTCACCCTAAAATTCTCGGGCGTCGAAGCGGGAAAGCTGTCGGGAACGTCGGTGAGAGTACGGCAAACGAAGAATAGCTTCCCGCTTGGAACTTGCATCAACAGAACAAACATAGACAACGAAGATTTCGTCGATTTCTTCGTCAAGAACTTCAACTGGGCGGTGTTCGGTAACGAGCTGAAGTGGTACTGGACAGAGCCTGAGCAAGGCAAGCTGAACTACCAAGACGCAGACGACATGCTAAACCTATGCATCAGCAACAAGATCGAGACGTTCAGCAATGGATCAGACAGCTGAACACTTCGGACCTAAACAACGCTGTCCAAAACCGACTCACGAGCCTTCTGAATCGGTACAAGGGAAAGTTCAGACACTATGACGTGAACAACGAGATGTTGCACGGATCGTTCTATCAGGACAGGTTGGGGAAAGACATTAGGGCGAATATGTTCAAGACCGCTCACCAGTTGGACCCATCGGCCACGCTCTTTGTGAACGATTACCACGTCGAGGACGGGTGTGACCCGAGATCTTGCCCCGGGAAGTACACCGACATGATTCTTGACCTGCAAGAAAAGGGTTCGCCCGTCGGAGGGATCGGGATTCAGGGCCACATCGATTCTCCCGTGGGACCCATCGTCCGTTGCTCGCTGGACGAGCTCGGGGCGTTAGGGCTGCCGATCTGGTTCACCGAGCTAGACGTTTCGTCCATGAACGAGCACGTGAGAGGGGACGATCTGGAGACGATGCTCTGGGAAGCATACGCTCATCCCGCAGTGGAAGGGGTGATGCTTTGGGGATTCTGGGAACTTTTCATGAGCAGAGAGAATTCCCATCTGGTGGACGCGGAAGGGGAAGTCAACGAAGCTGGGAAGAGATTCATCGGTCTGAAAAGAGAGTGGCTTTCTCACGCGAATGGCAACGTCGATGAAAATGGCGAGTTCGCGTTCAGAGGGTACGAAGGGAGTTACGTTCTTGAAGCTGTGGATTCGTCGACGAAGAAGAAGCTTCTGAGAACTTTTGCGGTGGAGGGAAGTGACTCTAATTCTAGAGTCATTTCCATTGATCTTCAAGGTCTGTGAAAAAATAATGCATTCATGAAGATTCTGGGTTTGTGTAAAACGAAAATGGTTACATGCATGCATGTGGAATATATATGTGTGTGTGTGTGTATATATATATATATATGTATGTATAAATTGTAAATGTAACTTTGGTTCAAAAAGCAATAAAACAGTGGAATTTATGTGAAGCGGGATAATGGCTTGAGGGTGGGATAGGAACCAATTCGGTTTATGGGTGAACCGGTTTAACTTTTTTCGGTCCGTTAAAAACCGGATTGATCAGCAATGACATGTGAACCTTGATTAATTTAACTTTTTTTTTTAAATTTCTTTTCGTAATTCACTCTTCATGATTTTATTTGGTTATTTTGTTGATAAAAAATGAATTAAAAACTTTACAGTTTCATTTTGAGATCTCTGTTAGTATTTTTATTTTGTATTTTACTTTCTTCAATGTTATGTTTTATATGTGCCATAAGTATATATGTTTTTTTTACTGCGTTTATATATGGCTTGAAATAAAAACTTTTTAAATTTAAAAATGTAACTTAAAAACGGAAATATTTGTGTACCATGTTCGATTTGAATTTGAGAGCCGATTTTATACTGATTTAAGTTAAAGTTGACTATTTTAAACTAGTTTAGAAAATGAATTAAGTTAATCAGGTTTCAAAATCAGCAATTTGGTAGTGGTCTATATTAGTACTTAACAAATCCGTTTTAGACATCTACTTGTCTCTTCTTTTTCTCCAATAGAATTAATTTTATTTTTAGAAAAATGGATAGTATTGGCCAAGATTATATTACAAAAAATAATATGAGAAATCGAATTGGGTCGAGATATTTTAGGTTATATTAGTCAGTTACACGTTCGAAATATTCGGTAGTTATTTCAAAACTTGGAATTTTCGAAAACGATTTAATTAGCACATTAAATGAATCGTCGAATTTGACAGCTAACGGGTTATTCGTTGAATTCATGTGTTATGGAATTTAACGATAAAAAAATAGAATTTATTTTGATAATTAAATTAATTAAGATCATCACTACACGAGTAATAGTATCTTATTACAAAATTTTCCAAAAAAAAAAAAGAGAGTCAATTTTGGTGTGGTAAACTACAAAATAATTAAATGATTAAAATAACAGATTGATGTTAAAACATGTCAATATTCGAACCTAAAAAACAATGTTAGGGTATTCACCTTTTTAAAAAAAGAAATACGCAGCTTCATCTTTTTTAAAGTAATTGTACTATTTTTGTATTTTATTATATAAACATATCAATTCCAAAAAAAATAAAAATACAAAGAAATTATTTCTGTTGTCCAATTTAATTCCTTTGTCATTTCATCCTTTGAATCGTGACAAAAAATTTATTGATGAATGAGCTAACAATACCTAATATCGTACTTAAAACCTTAATATATATATATATATATATATAGTCAGTAAATTGTGTACAAAACTATATATTTTCGTAAAAAAAAATTATTGAATTATATACGTTTGCTAACAAACCCTTTAAGAAGATTTTATAAGTAAAATTTCAATAAAATCACCGATTAAAAAAAAGGTCGTTAATGGTTTGATTTTTCAAAGACCACGTGCCTAAAAACAAAGATAAGTAATAACCGGAAAAGTAAAACAAAACTGTAACAAATATTTGTATTTGTAATATGTTACAACAAGAAACCATCGTAACATTGAAAGTAAATTCAGAAAAGTTGGTGCGTATTCATTATCCCTATTGATAAATGTATTTTATATTATATATATATATATATATATATATATATATATATATATGTTAAAAAATAAAGAAGAGTGGGTTTTTGTATTTACTGTTTTTGCATTAAAGAGTTTTAATACACGAGTCACGCAAACTGCACCCAACAACTACTGCTTCTTCTCCGTTCCATTAAACTCCATTCCCATAAATAAACACAAGTGAGAAAATGATGGGGTTTTTTTTTTAAAATTTATATATAGATTTTATGATTTTATTTAGCCAATGGGATGATGGTATAATAAATGATGCTTGTCTTGCCGAAAAAGAAATTGTACTGTTCTGATAATTTTGTGGAGTAAAAACCAAACGAAGGAAATGATCATCAGCGCCCGAGGCGGCGGGTGGCTCGGCAGCGGGTGGCGGTGGGTCGATCTTAACGACCACCGCATGTTTGCCGGTGCGTTTGTAAACGTACTCGACTAGCGCCGGCGGTTCAAACGCTCCTTTCACCGTCACTTGTGAACTCTTTAGTTCAGATTCCGCGGATTCAACACCTAATCAATGAATGGAATAAATTATACATTGATTAGATAAATTTATTTACTCTTGGAAAATCGAAATTTTGTTGCATCTTTCAGATGGTCCAAAAAATATGTGGACCCCACTATGTATATACAACCGAACGAAATCATGTGATATATATACTAAACACGAAGCAAGGAAATTATATATATATATATATATATATATATATATATATATATAATTGTATTCGAATAGAACAGAATATAAAAATTTAAACCAAGTTAATTAATTTTGAATCTAATTTAACCACTAGAATTATTCACAATTTTCTCACATCTATATTTCTATTGCATTAAGTCCATACAAGACATAAATTTCATAATGTGTTCAATCTCTAAAGTCGCAACCGTTTACAAAATGAGAAGGGGGCGGGGACCCAAAATGCTATTTCCCTTATTTCCAGAGAGCGAGAAAAAAAGGATGTTTGATCCCAAAATGGAGATTTTTTTTTTTACTTTGAAATTTTGAATGGTGTTGTAAAAAAATAATTTAGATGAAAGTAATTGACGTTTTAACTTCTTTTTTTAAAGAAATTATAGAAAAAATCATATATATCCTTTTTTAAGATGAAATATAATTAATATTCATTAAATTTATTGGAATTGATTAGTGTTAGTTATGAATAAATTTGAAAATTATTTTAAAAAATTACCTAGAAAATCTAAAATGACAACTATTTTGAAACAAAAAATTTTGTCTATAACGTCAACTATTAACAAATGGAGGGAATATTTACTAATTTTTTTTATAAACAATATTTACTAATTTGTTTACAAGTTTGATAGGAGATTGCATTCATGACTTGGAGATTGGACCATCGTGTCAATTCAATCTTTTTTTTACCTTTTCGTCAGAAAAAAAGGAAAAAAAACCTATCTTATATGATATATAGCTTTATAAATTGTGAATGATATGATATAGATGCATCTCTCTCCATCTCTCTCTCTCTACACAAACTCGCATATCAGATGTCTAACGCATTGTTTCAAACGATTTTCTGAGTTCATTCATCCACACACACATATATATACACACATATATATACATATATATTTGTCCCGAAGATCAAAGAGATTCCTAATCTATCATGGGTTTTTGGCGCTTAGCTCAATCTTCAAGAGTTTCTTCCTCTTTCTTCAAGGTTTGTTCTTCCTTCTCTTCTCGTCCTTCGGTGTTTCCTCTTCAGAAAAGTTACAGGAAAACTTAGTGAAAATTCATGAAAAAATCTACGCTTTTTTCCTATGTGTGTGTGTGACTGTGTGTGTATATACGTACGTACGTACATGTTACATATAATATGTATATCTCTTATATATGTACACTTGTATGTGTTTGTGCGTGTGTTGCAGCTTCGGAATTATCGTGCGTATGGGACTAAGGCCACAGCTTCTCAGCAGCAGCAGTTTCCGATCTCGAGAGAACGGTAAATATATGTTGTGATTATATAATGCAATATATATTTAATACGAATGTCACATGTTTCTTTATATTATATGTGTATATATATATATATGGTTAGTTTCCTTTTTAGACATCTCCATTTAGGGGTGGCCAATTCGGGTTCGGTTCGGTTATATTCGGGTTCGGTTATTTTGGTTATAGAAAAACTATAACCATTTAGTTTTTATATAAATTTCGGTTCGGTTCGGTTCGGTTATTTTTCGGTTCGGGTTCGGTTCGCTTTCGGTAAAAAGTTCTGCTTTTCAAAGAAATTGACGGTATTTTTTCGGTTTTTCGGTCATTTTTTATTCGGTTCGGTTCGATTCGATTTTGGTTTTTTCGGATCTAAAGAAATCATAACCGTTCGGTTTTGATATCGAGTTCGGTTCGAGTACGGTGATATCTTGTTCGCTTCGATTCGACTCGGTTATTCGGTTAATAACCGAAATAGCCACGTCTGTCTCCATTTATTGTTATTCAAGAAAAATGTTTTGTTTTTATTTTTCCTGTTAAGAATAGAATTAATTGACATTTGAAACTGGTGATTATTATATTTTATCATTAATCTGTAGAATTATTTGTAACCATTAATCTTAAATTGGATCAAAACTCATTGCCCGATATAACTCCCATAAATAGCTTCGCCTCATTTTTGATCCCGTCCTTGGGAGATTAATATTTGACTTGTCAGTGATGGGGATTATGCCGACGTGGACTGGGACAACCTCGGATTCGGTCTCGTACGGACGGATTATATGTTCATCACGAGGTGCTGCAGAGATGGAAACTTCGAACAGACTTGCCTTAGCCGTTACGGCAACATCGAAATCAACCCTGCTGCTGCAGTTCTCAACTATGGCCAGGCAAACCTACACATATACATATACATGTATATATATATGTGTGTATATATGTGTATGCTATTTCGAAGATGTATGTGAATCAATGTGTTGCATTTTCAGGGTTTGCTCGAAGGTACAAAAGCATACAGAAGAGAAGACGGTAAGATTCTTCTGTTCCGCCCAGATCAAAACGCTATACGTATGAAGATTGGTGCGGAGAGAATGTGTATGCCTTCGCCTTCTGTTGAACAATTCGTCGACGCTATCAGGCAAACCGTTCTTGCCAACAAGCGCTGGGTAAAACACTCGTTTCCTAGTTTAGGGTTTCACAGCCGATTAGGGTTTAATTAGGGTTTTGACTCTGGTCAACGGTGATTTGGTTTCTTTGCTTTAGGTTCCTCCCCCGGGCAAAGGCTCTTTCTATCTAAGACCTTTGCTCTTCGGAAGCGGGCCGATGTTGGGTGTTGCTCCAGCACCGGAATACACATTCCTGGTTTTCGGTTCTCCGGTTCAGAACTATTTTAAGGTTTAAAGTCTCTACCTTTTTTGATCATTGACAGTGTGAATCTGTGTCCAAGACACTTCAGGTTTGCTTCGTTGCTTGCGCAGGAAGGCAAGTCACTGCTGAAAAAAAATG